TGACATGCCCAAAATAAGGTGGTACTTTCCAGGAACCCCTTTTCATGACGGTCCTGATGCTGGTCTCTCCTGAAAGGAGACTCTTGCAGTTTCAGCTAAATGTCAGTATTAGTGGAAGTGATAATGAAACAACTTTACAGAAGTGCAAACAAGCTGAAAATGTAAAGCTTTCTCTCATTTTCTTTTATGATTTTCTTTTGATTCTGGGATTTAAAAATGGTTATCGCCATTTGTTCAAAGGTTATTTATCTATTTATTGGTTTATTTAACAGGGACAATGCATCTCTATTAAGAAAACTACAGATTATCAAGATGGTTAGTCCATTAGTAGTGCAGCAATGAATACAGCATTTAGATTGATTTTGTATTTTTTCATGTAGCCTACACATTTATCTCATTTTCTGGTCATTCTGTCTCTGAAACCAAATCTACACTCTTGTTCAAGAGCATACAGCACAGTTTATAATCCAAGATTTTACACACACACATTTAAAACATGTACTGCATAATTGACCCAATACACACCAAAAAACTGCATTTATCGAGAACCAGTTGACAGTCCACTACACACACTGTCCTCTGGTCTCGCTGTTCAGCCTGGACTCCTCACGCAGTGAGACTACAACAAGCTTCCTGCCTTCATAATCCTTATCTACCATATTATGTCACGCTACACTGGGCTTCATAGTGTAAACAGACTACTGAGGTGTTGAGCCATTATACTCAGACAGTTTTATTTGATCTAGTGTTGACGATCTGATGTGTCAACAGCTGAAGAGTGTTGGCATTCACGAGGAGCATGTGCAAAATGCAAGCTTGCATGTTTGCTCGCCATTCTCTAACCCGCGCCTCAACGCTGCCGTCAGAATGTCAGCGTGCTGGACTAAGATGCTGAACATCAAACCCACTGAACATCAGTGGGCCTTTGCTCGTTTTAGAGGCGTTAAAACAGCTGAAAACAGTCATTGGTCTTTGATTCAGGCCTGAATATTCATTTTTATACGATACATTTGAGGCCATCCAGCTGCTGAATGACATTCTATAACAGCTGTGTTGTGTAGTTAGTCGTGACAGTTGAGGTGCAGACAGCAGCACACATTTAAACAGCAGCGTGTGTCGTCATTATTATCTAAACCAGTTCACCGACTGGTCCAAGCTGCTGGAATCACTTCCCTCCCAGTGGATGTTCTTGTGCTCCTCTCACCCCGGACTCGTTTTTCTCTTGGGTGCAAAAAGTCCAGTTTTCAAATCAAAACACGTTTTCATTCTCGGCCGAAATGACACCAAAGAAAAAAAGAAGAAAGACAAACAGGATGAAACTAAAGACAAATAAAAACTGAGACTTAACAGCATAATAATAACTTTGACGATCCCTTTGACTTTTCATCTAGCGCCATCATCAGGTCAAAATATCTCAGAAAATTCCCATCAGCCCCAGCTGTACCTTGTGTCTAGTACTAATAATCAGATGTTATCATCATGCCAAACATGATACCAGCAAAACCTGACTCCACTTATTGCTCAAGTTACACGAACGAACTACCTAACAAACACAAATGATCATTCTGTTTCTCAGCATTTGTTTTTTAGACAAACATTGACATTTTTGTTTACTGCAGCTCACAAAGTAGTTTTAAGACAAACACACGTTCAGACATGACCTGCTGCTGGTGGAATGATGAGTCCCACTATCAGGCCTACTCAAGGAACTTTACTTGAATAGTTCCATTTCATACTAACGTTCTTTCATCCCCTTCCTGTCCAGTGAGAACCACATACATCCAGATGTGTTGATGCTGAATGTTTGGGATGAAGTGTTTTCTTTATGTGTTGAGAAAACTACTTCTTCAGATAAATGAACCATTTCACAAGAACGACATTGGATCAGCTGGAAAAGTCCATCGTAACTAAACTGTTAATCCAAAAACATCATATATAATAGTAAGACTGACAGAGTGAGTATTTTCACTTTTGATACTTTCAGTACACTGCCGATAATACTTAAGTACTTTTAATTAAGTATGGTTTTGAATGCAGGACTTGTATTTGTTGTGGAGTATTTTCACAGTTTTACTTATCCTGTTTGATTCCACGTACAAAGTCTGAGTTCTTCTTCTGGTGAAAATGACATCACATCACATCACCATGCAGCATGTGTCTCTCTCATGTTATATTTATTTATTTTTTTTATATATATATATATATATACATACACACACACACACACACACATACTGGTTAGTTCACAGATTCTCCACAGGAAGGTGCTGTTCCCTGAAGTTACCGGTCGACTCTTAATGTGATCTGGATGTTGCTGCTCAGCTGTTAATGTTGTAGTTTTAACACTCTTGTTTTGTGCAGAATCCTGGTAAAACAACATGGCTGCTAACCTTGAACCCTTTTCATTACAGTCTAGATCCTGGTGTCTTCTGAAAGGGGACTTTTTGCAGTTTGCTATAAAAATTTTGGTCATTTGAATTACCTTGGAAAACTAACTTAATCACATTTAATAACTTTCAGTGAACATCTCTTTTCAGGTTAATACAATCTAGATTCATTGTGTTATTGTGCAGATGCATTTCATGAATCATGTGTGAGATGTGTGACAGCAAACAGAAGCAATGATGAACACCCGTTTACTGTAGACAGGATTACTAAATCCTGTGCTCTCTGGTAGCTAAAACCAAGACTAAAGGATTGTGATCAAAGCAAAACACCATGAGAGCAACTCACACAAGCTTTCAACCCTCGTAGCCCACAAGTGAGTTCCAGCACCTCGCTGATCTCAGGGATGATAAGCGAGGTGGGGAAATTTACGTGAGAGAAAAACATGAGCTGACAGGCATCTGCTTTGTTCAACAGAAATTAATTTCCTGTGGCAAAGGATCTTTAAGATGTTCTGCTCTTATTTTAATCACTGCTTTTGATTTGAAACATGAAATCCTTAACTACATCTCCAGCTAATCTTTTCTGAAAATCTTCTTAACGTCTAACTTGTTAACCTTTTTTTAACTTGGGCACACCTCGAGTTAAAAGCATGGGCATCAACACACAACAACAACAACAACCGAGGGTTCAAGCTTTGCTCTACAGCTGGTACGGTGTTGAAGTGGAGTGTTAATAAGATCAACATCATGATGAACGACGTTAATTATGTTCTTTGGGCCTGAAGTCAGTGAGGTGAGAACTGAACTTCCTGTGTCTTTACAGCTCAGCCCTGAAGGAGGAACATGCAGCTAAAAGTACTTAAAACTGACGACACATAAATGCACCCGAACATATTCTGCTGTTGTTGTTACTGTATTTTGTGTCTCTTTACTGAGACCTCTCTAACTGAGATTAAATGTGATCTTTCCCTTACTGCAACTCTCCAAGCAAGGGGTGGCATTTCCTGGCCTTACATTTAAAATAAAACCACCCACGCAGTAAAATAGTGGGAAGTAGATTTCCTCGAAACAATGATGAAAGACATTTCTTAAACTTAAGAACATTACCTGAAACTCGTGTAAAACAGGGAACTTGCGATCACGCCTAATTTGACCGACAGGGTTTTTAATAGTTATTTAAAAGTTATTCATTTATGAGTTTCAAAGGGTCATTAGAGTCTCACCACCAGGTCCATTTAGTGGCTGTTCCGGAGCTTTCGATCACATCAGATGTTACCTGAAACAATTGAGAAACACATAAAATGCTAATTTCTATGTACAATATTCATAATATGGGTTTTTTAAAGTTTAATTAACTTACTGAAAGGTGCTAAATAGAAATTGAGAGCAAATCTGTCGCCTCCACATGGCTCTTAGCGTGGCGGCTAGCAGCTAACGGTGCTGACAGGGCTACGTGTGTTTACGTGAGGGTGGGTGCTACACCTCCAGGACGACGCTGTGGGTCGGGACGGCGTTGTCAGCTGTAACCGCCACATCAGCATCTTCCTCCTTCAGCACGATGAAGGTGACAACAGCCTTCTAGCGTCAAACTTTGCACGTACATAATTCTGCACAGTGAAGGTCAAACATACAACTGAAGCAGCAAAAAGAAAAACACATTTTCGAGTGAAGGAGAACTGTGATGTTCTTAATGACAGGGAGAAGGAGGGGATCACCCAAATGGGATTATTGTTACACAGACATCTGCATTCTTTCTGGTTTGTCTGTTTTTGTTAAGCAACAGAATTGTATGACTTGAACAGATTTAGGGAAATTCAGACACAAATGATCACTAAACACCCGAGTCTTTAACTTAAACATGTTATTCTCTCTTAAGATTCTGAGAAACAAGAAGTACAAAATGTATATTGTTATTATTAGTTGTTGGGCCTTTTTTTTATTTTGTTCTTGTTTTTTCTTCCCTTTTAACATAAAATAATTAAAGACAGAGTCTTGCAGGCTATCAATTGTCCATGTAATGCAGTATTTTCTATGCAGGCAGTGAATAATATACCTACATTTAAACTAACTTTTTACAGTGCAGGAAAACTCAGTGCTCTCTTTATAACGATGACATTTTAATTCTAATACAGCTCCCTCAAACCATTCACTTATAGGAACCGATAGGAGCACGTCTGTTCTCTGAAACATCGCTTCCGATTCAAAATGAAACGCTTGCGGCGCAATTTGTGATTTTCCAAATGAAAATGAGATTCAGTTCTTTGAAAGCACAACGAGCGTGAAGAATTTCTGAAATCACAGGACAAAAACAAGTAATTTGAATTCATGCTGTGAGTCACAGTGAAGGTATGAAGGCTTGTTTTCAGTAACTGCTCAGAGAAAAGAGAAATTCATTCAGAGATCTAACGCACAGTCACTCAGAGTGCTGCTGTGGTACAACCCCACATGCTGCGCAGCTCTATTTGTGGAAAGAAGAAGTACAAAGCAACTCCTGGGGACCTGGCGTCGGTTTATCGAGTACTATGAACCGTGTCAAAATGCGTCTCCCCGCCCCTTACAGTGTGTAACTCCCCAGAATATTTCCTTCTAGTTCACTCTGAGTGAGCAGCTCCTGTGTGCATCATGACTCTGAGTGGCAGCCGCATGTGGGTGTGAGTAGGTCAGTGCCAGGTGACAATGGTTGGCGGCAGATTTCATTTGGATTTTCTTGACTCAAAATGTTCCTATGCAAGTCATTCACATTTTGTCATCTTTGGTAAGTTGTCTTTAATTTTTCCTTTTGCATTTTATATTTTTAGTTACTGTCGGATGATTATATCGAACTATTTATAGAGAAGAAAGTGAATAATTTACATCTTTTTTTTGTAGGTGTCTATTTAGTTCTTTGTAAAAAATAAATCACTAAATTCAGTTTCGAGGGCTATGGAGGATCTTTCTGTAACCTGCTGGATTATATCATTATTATACATTATATATCACTCAAACAACTCCAGTATTTAGTATTCAATGCAGATTTTCCCTAAAGCTTCCTTCCTCTGTTCAATTCAAGGTCTGATTATTGTTTACTACACCACACCCTCCTCTCCTGTTCAAGCATCAAGTCCAGGTATTTTACTTTATATTATATTTCAACTTATTATTCATCAGACTGCTGCTCAAATATCAGTGATTTCATCATATGATCTCTAATAAATGGTTTCACTGATCAAATAGATCTCCTACAAAGTGGGATCATACTTAGAGTGTTTCTCCACTGTGAGATGAAGCATTCTTGTAAGAATGACACAGTGAGAAAGTAACACCTGATCTAGTTTCACATCATATTCAAATGTTATGTTCCAGTGAAGTGCAGGTCACTGAACATTTCTTCCAAATATCAGCACTGTGAGATCCACCCAGGTAAAAAAAACAAAAAAAAAACAACAAAAAAACATTTCAGTCATCCCCGATTGAATCATCAGCTGTTTAAACCTCTCAACTGTTTTTGCACACTGCCACTCTTTCAGATGGAGTTCATGATTTAGATTGCTTTGGGGAAAATAAACGACATGGCGTGAAAGTGTGTGTGTGGAAACCTGGAACGCGCTCATCAGAAAAGACGTACACACTTATCGTACAACAACAAATGCGCAAGTAAGATTTCTCCTTTCTAGCCGAAATTAACATGTAAAAAAAACCACACATTTGCAATTATTTTTTTGACAATTAACATTTCATCTTTCAAACCATCTCTGTTTATCAGAACATATTGCAGAGCTAACCACAACATCACTGAGTTCTCTAAAACGATCACATTATATGAAACTGTGAACGTGGTCGTGGAGGTTTTGGAAAACAGCGAATCAACAAATTGCACAAAAGCAGTTTTTAAGGGTTCACCAAAGACCATGTGTAAGTCCATAACATTGTGTTTTTATAAGCAAGTTTCTCTTCATTTCTCTTGTTTTCATGTCACATCTCTGACTGAATGTAGTTGTTTTTTAATTATATTTCAGTGCGATGTGGTCCTCCATATACGGTGTCCTTCAGCCGCCACTCTGGAGGACTGGTTGTGAATGTGAGCTGGCCACAGGAGGACATAAAGGCCATAAAGTATTACTCTGTGAGCTATAAAGCACTGGGCAGCCTGACGTGGAGCAAGGTCAGATAACAAACCATGTTGTTAAGTGGTCAAACTTTAAAAAGCTCTCTTTCAGAGCTACAGAAGACATCTGTTTCCACAGGCTGAGTAGTGCTCCTTATTACGGGTGAACTGACCTTTATGAGTCAAACCACTGGAGTTCCCCTTTAATTTAACCTTCAAGGGGCATGTTGCTGTTTCTTTGTTTTACGTACCAATGTCTTGATAAAGATGCATCTCTTTAGCAAAAGAGGATCTTTTTCTTATCGCGATTCGCTGATTGAATAAAGGTTATGGTTTTAACAATATATCTATTCAAGGAAAATAATTTTTTTAGAATTTATGTTTTGAATAACTCCACCTGGCATTAATTCATAATTCACTGTGTTCACAGACCGTGCAATCCCAAAATGCAACGATATGTACAGTGGACAACCTGAACTCCTCACTGGTCTACACTGTACAGATACAGTGCGTCACCAGTGATAAATGCCCTCAGTGTGCAGTGAGTGAAGCCTACACTGTCCCATCAGGTCAGATTGGTTTAAAGTAAATATATAACATACAAATATAAGCAGTTTTTTTATATATTGTGTTAGATGAATGCTGCAAAAACAAAGTGTTTTTACTCCACTGTGTGATTACAAGAACAGGAGAAACAAGTGGAAATATTGCATCTTATATCACAATAAATAAATGTCCTCTTTCAGAACTGACCACTCAGCCGGTCATTGTCAACCTTGAAGAAACTGACATTATTGGAAGAAAAGGCTGCCGGCTGCTTTCTTTAACCTGGAAGGTCATTTTTCACATCAACTTTTACTTCCATAAGAAATATAATCGGGAGTATATCTTCTGTGTAGCCATGGCTGATGCCGTTATGATACTAAAATGAGCCTGTTTGTTAGTTTCCTGCCACGGAGCTGCATGATGGCTACTACGTGACCGTTGGGAAAGCGTCAGGAGAGGCTCCACGTGAGCGGATAACCACCACTCAGCCCGAGATCAGACTGATCCTCTCATATTCAGCTTATCATCTCAACATCAGTGCTGTGAACAACGCTAGCATCTCTCCAGCTGTCAGCCGGGCGATACCACAGCGAGGAGACATGCCCCGTGAGTCCTCACTTGTATACTTTGATCCTGTTTTAATCTGAACAGGAGTCGCTTTTGGAGATCCAGCCTACGATATAATAAGAGTGGATTTATCATGGACTTGTCCTCACAGGTATGGGAGCTGGGATGCTGAACGTGACAGTCCACAGCAATACATCTCTTACCATCTATTGGAAAGACGATCTCATCAAAAACTATGTCTGCTATTCTGCGGAGTGGACGAAGGGGGGACATAAAGCAACGCACATGTCCTTCTATCAGAACAAAAACAACTATAAGACCGTATCTTCTCTACCAGGTGTGTAGATATTCACATATTTTAGTCCTCAAGAAGTTCCGTTTACGTGCTACTAACTTATTTTGCCGACTATGTTTTGAAGAAACGAGTGCTTTGAGTATTTAAACAAATGCTTTATTTGAGGGTGAACAAATGAAAAACATTGTCAGTGAACATTTTGAAGATACGTTCTGTATAAACATGTGTTCCTCATAACGTAACTCAGCTGGTGATACGAGTAGTATGCAAACATCATTTACGGAAGACTTTGGTACCTGATGAAATACATTTCAAATACCCAGAGCCTTTGGAGCCTCATAAGAGATACAGCATCACTCTGCACACACGGCCAGACAAGGACACCTGCAACATGAAGCACGTGAACAACAGCGAGAGCACCTATGGGACAACACAGTTCTATTTCACTCAAGGATGTAAGTCACACTCAATATACTTTTCCACTATTATGTAACGTGATTGGAATAGTCACGCGCGTCTGTATCAAATTTCATGGCAATCCATCCAACAGTTGTGGAGACATTACAAATGTCAATCTGCTGGTGGCGCTACAGGAAAAGCCAAGGGATCACTAAAATCTTTAGGATTCATCCTCTGGGGACCACGAATATCTGTGCAAAATTTAATAGCAGTCCATTAAACAGTTGTTGAGATAATTCACTCTGCATCAAAGTGGTCGACTGACCTAGCATGGCTAAAAACAAGGATAAATATAATATCTATTAGATATCGATTCCCTTATCCAGAACAAAACGGTCTGACTTCTTGATATCGTGCTCTCAAAGCTCCCATCAGCGCTCCCGCAAACATCAGCAGCGAAAATGTGACGCTGAATTCAGTGGCGCTGCAGTGGTCGTCCATCCCGGAGGAGGACATCAGAGGTTTCCTCCTGGGTTACGTGATCTACTACAATGAGTACCACCACGGAAAGTCAAGTACAGAGAGAAGTAAGCATTATCCGCTTGACACAGAGTTACACACAGCCTCTACGTGCATTACTCTCAATGCTATGTTTGTTTACCACCGCCTCAGTCTCTAAAGGTTTGTGAACAAGCTACAGCATTAGCAGTTGGTCTGAGGCTTTAGTGATCTAATGCAGACACCTACAGCCTAAACATCCTTTCTGGTTCAGTCCAACTTTAAAGCAGATGTGTCAACGGTGAAATGCTGAAAGGTGTCACTCTTTGATTGCAGATTTTACAGTGGATCCAATGCTGAACAGCTGTGAATTGGGGAATCTCAAAAGTGGCACAGCGCACGAAGTCCAGATATCAGGTTTCACCCGGGCAGGAGCAGGAGTACGAAGCACAGCAAGCCTGTTTAAAACTAATGATCAAGGTTGTATCCATCAAATGATGCACGCAATTACATTTCTGATGCTTACGTTTGCACAGACACATCCTGACTTACTGTGGTTTTGTTTCGTTTTTTCGTAGACGTTTCTAATCTCAGTGGCCTCATCACAATCTTTGCAGTTCTGGCGGCTGTGCTGATATTTGGATCTCCTATAATGAAAAGGTACAGCCGCCGTCTTACACGTTAAACAAGCTGTCACACATTTCTTAAATGGATAAATATCTAACACATCTACTCTACACTACCTACTCTACTTAGAGCTAAAGTGATTCTGTGGCCAAGCATACCGAACCCTGGAAAGAGCGATGCAATGCAGAGAATAGAAAAGCCTTGTGAACTGGTAAGTGTCCATCTGGGATTTCAATAAATGAACGACCAGTTTTAACATCGTGGAAGCCAAACGAAACCTCGAGTTACCAGCACGAGTGTGAAGAAATTAAATGAGCTTAATAACAAACAGTTTTCTTTTACTTCACTCAGGATCTACTAAAGTCCATCGACACTCTGAGGGTGGAGGAATGGGACACCATCAGCCTTCGGCTAGTTGAGAAAGAAGATGATGCGACCCCTGCTAGCACATCGCCATCAGAGTTATTGCTTCTCCACGCGTCAGAGGACGAGGGAGACTCGCCAGAAATGAGTCCTGACTGGATCCAACGAGACACCGAGGATGCAGCTGGAGATGTCCCGCCTGACAGCACTGGAGAAACGTTCCCAGACATCCGACGGACAGACACCCAGAGTTCCCCTTTCGCCTTTTCTAGTGCATACACAACATTGGACATGTTTCAGCGGGGCATGCCGGCGAACACATCGGTTACTCAAGCCACGGAAAGCAAACCAGAGGACACAGACTTGACTGTGGGAAAATCAGGATTGGACTACATAAGACAATTTAGCACCAGTCCGATAACGGACGGCAACATGGCCACAATTTTGTGAAAACTGTTTCGAACAGGACTGCAGACCATGAAGAGCCAAGACCACGGGATCATGAGAACCATCATCCATCCATCCATGTTTTCATTATTCATAAAGACAGAAGTTAAGTTCTCTACTGTCCATGCACATCCACATCTCTGCTCATTTCTGTAGCACTTTACCTGCTATACATCCCTGAACATACAGTACCGTACTTTTATAGCTGAACCTGAACACCTCATGATGGAAACATGACTGAAAATGCTTTAAGAGCACAAGTGTATCAATGTACAATCTTTGCAATGCAGTTGTCCCAATGAATGCCTAATATCAGGGCAATGGGCCTTTTTCACAGTAGACATTTTAACTTATAGCAGTGAAAGCACTCATGTCTAGTGACATTATGCTGCATTCACGTGGTGTTGGAATAATCGGAAAAATGTGTTCCCGACTAGGAAAGTTCACCCGAATGCCGATTCAAGTCGGAACAACTCTGAAAGTTTGCTAAAATGTTTGGTACTCGAGTTGACGTCATTGCACACGTATTAAATATACACATTTTAGTAATAAAAAAATAGTAATATGGTATTAGGTTGTAACCATTCGATGATGTGCACTAAGGGTGATCTAGTGACCTATGCAATATTTGAGTGGTTTTAGGGAAAGTTTGGGACAAAATCAGTCATAAAGTACAACACGTCTTCTTTGTAGCGTCCACGTTGTTTCCACATTACGGCTTAAAACTCATGAACACACAGCTGAAGAAGTAAGAACAGGTGCGTTCTCACTGGAGTCCAGAGGGAATCACCTCTTGGTTAAATTGCAGCATTAAAACTCTGAACATGAGTGAATGAAAAGTCTCTTTATTGAGTGTTGTTTAGGAAACAGATGAGATGTATCTCTCGTTTCAAACTGAGGACCACAAACAAACATCCAAGTTCTTCAAAAACCGTGTTACCAAATCTTTACATCGAGTCTCAAACACAGACTTTCCCCCGTCAATCGTCTCTACTGTAGTATCCGCACACAGCGGACACGTGGATATAAAAAAATAAAATAAAATCTTTTAAACTTCATCACTTCAAACTGAAGTGCTGTGAACACAAAAAAAGCAGGAAAATAAAAAAGCCATCGGGGGAAATTTAAGTTTTAAAATATATCTAGCTTTCCAAGAAACGAAAAAAATGAAATAGGAACTGATCTCAATATGTTTGCGGATGCATTTTTGACACGATCACAATACTGAAAACCAAAACACTAGAAATGACAGAGAAACACATGATCAAATAAAAAAAGACAAATCCACAAAAGTCCCATGAATGTTCAATCTACTCTATTAATTACTAAAGACAGCCGACAATACTTAAATATAACGTCTCATTCGTTTTAGCTATTCAACATCCTAAACAATAACTTCAGGTTGCATTTGTCAATAAGTCTCCATGTGTTATTAGAATATTCTGTACAATCTTAGTCTAGGCACTTTTGACCCTTCTGTGCTCTCAGTTAGACCTGCGACACATCCGACAATCTGGGCTTCATTTGGGTCTCACTTTGAGCCGACAGACATTTTGTACACCGCCAGCATTTCTCTTTTTTTATAGTTTAGGCTTGTTTTGTATCTATAAAAACAGTAAATATTTTATCTCACAGCATTACAACAATAAGAGGAAAAGGAAGATGATACATCGTCGTGACAAATCGGAAATATAAAAAACGCAATAAAATGTACACCCATAAAACAAAGTAAAACGACGTATTCTTGTTGCCCGAATGAGTTATGCAACAATATATTAGGTTGACAGGTTAACAGAAACAGTACAATACCGTTCTGCACTCTCATAATTACAGCACTTCAAGTCTTAAAATCAACAGCGTACATTTTCTGCAGGACGTTCCAGAGTTAATGGTGCAGAGCGTCGTTCACGTCTAACAGCACACAAAGGGCAGATGAGCATTTTAGCTTCCCCGATTTAGAAGTATCCGTACGCTGAGGGGCCCTCGTGTTCCTACACCCAGAAGACACGTATTAAATATGTAATGCACCGTTTGTTTCCTTTAGTAAAAAAAAAGAAAGCAGAATATGCGAAGTGGCCGTCACAGCCACACCGCGGCCAGAGCAGCAGAATAAGAAGGGGTGTCGATAATGAGAGATGAAATACCTGATGATCTAAATGATGGTTCAGTTGGTGAGATCCTTGTTCTGATTGGCACTTCCCCTTCTTGGTGTGCTGGTGAGCAGCAAGTCTAGACACAGAACCTAACATGATAACGGCCTGGATTATACTATTATTATCTATATTTTACAATAGGTCATTTTTTTAATGTTTTGTATAAAATGCAACTGATGCAAACTCAGTTGCTTTGTGATAAATGAAAAGCCATGTGAGAAACTGACTGTATGGACAGATTACAGATTAAGGATTCACTGCAGTACTTTTACTAGATTATTAAGGATTCACTGCAGTACTTTTACTAGATTATTAAGGATTCACTGCAGTACTTTTACTAGATTTCTCTGATATGTTATTAAAGGATGCCTGAAGAAGTCAGTGAAGTTTGAAATATGTTGCAATCCAGTTTAGATTTTGCCGTTCAGTGCCTGTATCTGTGCTCATACACAGCAGATTAAATTTGATAAAATAAACTGCATAAAATGATAACCTGCTTTGTTCCTATATGCATTACCGACTCGTTTGTGAACCTTTTTCCACCGGTTCTCACGCCATAAAAGGAAAACATTTTAAAATCTCTCTCCCGTAAGATACATTTTTATTACCGTTAACGCAGATTGTTGCTGCAAATAGCTTTTTGCAATATCAAGACAAAAACATTGTGTTTGTAAGAAAAGGCATATACACTTCTAATCTAAGAGGCATGAAAGGCTTTTCAGACTACTGAAGTGTGGTCAAGATGTCACAGGAGGAATGGACCAAGAGGAGTTTCAAAAGCTCTGCAGCTGCACATTGTTTCTGCCTGGGTAGGTGACTACAGTCTTTGTGTCTGTACAGAAGGAATAACAGGCTGACTGACACACAGAGGAGGTGGACAACCGTATGATATCATGCAATCCAATGTGTTTGTTTGGGAAGCTTGTAATGTCCAGCTGCTGTTGAGGTGTTGACTCAACTATTTAGTGTCGTACTGTCGTATCGTGAGCACCTTCTGCGAAACCTGCAGCCTCCCTTCTAAACGGGAAACGCTGCACCGAGTGCTCACCTGCCCTTTGAGTGGGGGACAGAACATCCGCTGAGTCACAGGATCCACATGTTGCCAACAATGTGGAGTTCAAAAAAAAAGATCATGAGATGACGACGATGAGGAAAACACGCTGCTAATGAGTGGTTATCGCCCGGTGTTTATACGTACGCCGTACTGCGCTGAGATGGGACGCGGGGTGAGTTCGTATGGTGCTGTAATAATCACTTGGAGCTGCCCAGATGTGCATACTCGGCGTTGTGAGTCTTGTAGCCACCGTTATGCAGGGCGCACGGCGATGACGTCATGTCCTCGCTGAGTGCGTCTTCTCGTTCACTATCAAAGTCTTCCTTTTCTTGCCGGTCATAGTCCTTTTGCACCTGAAATATCAACGAGTAACAGTCAGACCAGACCTGGTGGGCCAAGAGTTCAGGCACTAATGATGCAGTCACTGTTAGATGTTTTCACTGAATAGAAGTTTAAAAAATACATCGGACTCCTAAAGCCCAAGTCACCCTAAGAGTCACAAAACCAACACCACAAGGACACTCCGAGATAGAATACAAAAACATAAATAACCTAAATTCTAACTGGAACCCCTTTTAGCTTCCACCTTCCAGCAGTGTGATGTTCATCGGACCGGAAACACGCGTCAACTTGAGCTTTACTCTCTGCTACGAGTAAAGAACGCTACATACATTTTTGGGTGGAGTATCACTTACGATAACTGAAGTAAAGTGCATGACACGGATGTACGGCTGCAGTGCATTATGCAATCGATGGCAAAGATGGAGCGCGATAAGTCTAAAACATGTCGCCTTTTATCTCTCACCCGTCGCCTTCGTGTGATCTTTATCGTAAACTTTCAAAAGTAGGTCGGCGTTGACGTGGTTTGATTCTCGAGTTTGAGAGTGGAAACATTCACCAAAAAAAACACAGTTTCTGAGGTTGGGGGGGGGTCTGCTGAGGACAGTAAAGCAGAGATTTGCAGAGATGCAGGGGGACCCAAACAGGGAGGCATTATTCCACAGAGGTGTTCCAAAGTGTAAGCTTCTTTACCTTCTTTGGCTTGGCCTTGCTCTTTATCCTGTCCTCGTCCTTGCGGCTCCTCTTCCTGGATGTGGATCGGTCCTTTTTGTCCCTGCTGCGCTCCGTCCTCTTGTCTTTCCCACCTCTGAGAGGAGCAAACGAAAAAAAGACACCGATCACAATCTTGCAGACACAAAATCACTGAAATGTTTTAGTCCACACGTTTGTGAATCCACCAAGAAAACATAGAAAAGACACGGACCGAACATCTCAACAGTGTTCTGAGGATGGAGTGGTGGATTTACCTTTTCGGGGAGGGTGATCTGACTTTCCTGCGAGGGCTCCTGGACCGGTCCTTATTCCTCCTCCTGTGGCCCCTGATAACAACACATTAACTGGATTAACTACATTTATTAAGACAATATAATCTATTTACGGAAAAATCTGTAGTGTGCAAGTACATAAAAACATAAAGGTAAAAATCCATAGATACATACTTTATAGTATCAAAAGGTTTATAAGATAAAAAGATACATTTTCCACACAACAGGAGACAAATCCAGGAAGTTGCTAGTCTTATGAAGAACATGGGGCCCTCTAGTGCCCAGTGCAGGGATAACAGGGTAGAGCTTGATATTACATTATCTTAAATTAAACTACAGAAGCAGATGAAACCTCTCCAGAGCACTGAACAGCGTAGAAACGGATCATTTTGAGATCGATGCCTCGTGTTGTTCCCGACATACCTGGAGCGACTCCGACTTTGTCTCTTGTCTCGGGAGTGGGAGCGCCGCTTGTGGGTGCTTCGGGGATTGTGGGTGTCGGTCCTCGGCCACACTTTCGGTACCGGTCTGCTCCAACAGGAAGAGAAAGAAAATAAATAAATGCTAATCACTGACTGGACACAATCAATCATTCCATCACAGCGGCATGCCAGTGAAGTCTCAACGCTCCGAGTGTTAGCTGATCACCTGTGTTTCGAACGGGACCTCTTCCTGTGCGTTCTTGAGCGGGAGCGGGACGGAGAGCGGGACAGACGCAACTTCCTCGACCGGCTGGAGGAGCGCTTCTCTAGGTCAGCTAGAGGCAGAGCGGCAGTCTCAGCATCAGAACAACTTCACTAATCCGTTACTAAAACCTTGATACAATGCAGCTAATCAAAAAGCTGTACCTGGATCTATGGCAGCAGCGATGGTGCACTGGGCTTCCCTCACCCTCTTCATCACACTTTCTAGCTCCTTAGCGGCGGCCTGTGGCGTCATCTCCGGGGGTTTTACTATGGCGTTATTGGAATGATTAACCCTGGAAGACCAAAAGCTAAATCAGCTGACACAAACCACTAAAAGACATTCAGAGTAAATAAATGACATTTCTAGATTTAGATTTTCTGTCCCTGCTGTACATCTCTGTAAGACGATCTCTTAACACGTACTTAAGGGGTCTGTCTCCGAACATGACTCCGTTGAATGTCAGGGCTCTGCCGACGGAGTCCTGCTCCACAAACTCGACGAAGGCGAAGCGTGTCGGCTGAGTCTCGTCTCCGGCCATTCGCACAAACTTGACCTCTCCCACCTGCTTGAAGAACTCCAGCAGCTGGTCTGCAGTGGTGGTCTGTGACAAGAAATAACTAGATTGAATGACAAGTTTGCAGCTACAGAATGTGAAGCTTTGATTTTTTTGGGTGCTGGAATCAGTTGAGAGTTAACTTGTTAAAAGGATTTATTTTATTGATCTGATGTCCGACATCATCATTAGTGCTGCAGGGCCCCGACAACAAATACTGCACTTGAAGGCTTTAATATCTTCTCTCGTGGGTACAGATAGCTTATGAACAGAATTTGTCTTTGAGCATTATTAGTGGAAACTAATTTGTTCAGATGAGTCATGAATACGTCAAGCTGTCTGGAGAAAGAAGACAGAAATGAGGCATCTTTCACTGCAATAGGAATGAGGGAAAGGATGGTTGCTACTTAAAGTATAAGTCTGGTGATATTATGTATTTTTCTTATTCACAAAAAAATCCTACAAACTGACATTGATTTCATTCTACCAACAAATATTGTCTGTGTATCCGAGTCCGATATGTCTCCTCCCTCTGTGCCACAGAGCTCTATTGTTTTTTTGACGTGAACACAGGTTTGACATGACGTTACCTGTGAGTTCAAGTTGCCAACGTAGACGGTCCTCCTGATCTCATCCACTTTTGAGGGATCCACATTCCCCATGAGGGGGGCCTGGGCGCTCGCTGATGCTGCTGCGGGGTCCAGGGCAGCCGACAGCCGATTCACTACGGGAAGGTTCAGCTGCGGGAGTGAAACACACACACACTCAGGTTTTACTTAAGCCTAGTCCACACCACACCACTTTAGACCCGATTTTCCATTTCTGCAGCTCCCTGACGAAAGACCCAGATCAGAGGCAGATCTCCGTTGGCTTGGCGCTTGCAAATTGGCCCTGTGAGGCAGAGGATCGCCGATGCATCGCAGACTCATCCCAGATGTCTAGCTGGATAAACATATGGACCTGTCATGGAGTCTGTTGGGGAGCTACAGCCAAGGAGAGCGCAAGACACGGGTTGAGGGGGAAACCTGAGGAAAGGGTCGCCTGCACCAACAGGAACTTTAATGTCTGTGTTGCATTTGCAACATGGACCAAAGTTGATATTGGAAGCAGGCTATGGGTGCAACCCAAGTCTCTTCATTGCATCCACGTTTCCATTGCGTTTCGTCCCTCCCATCAGGGATGCATGGAGAGGAAACGAGGAAATACGTTTTTAGATAAATGAGACGTCCTTTCCTCTGAAGCGTCACGTGAAGCGGAGTTTGTGTCTGCACACATGTTAACTGTACTAATAAAGATACACAGTTATCACTGCCAGAGGAGAGCCGTTTTCTCTTTATAGCCTGTTACCCGTTCAACCTGTGATCTTCACTCTGGTATAGAAACTTCAGTGACGACGAGAAGTATCAGATCAGTCCGATTGGCTGCAGCTTCAAATCAAATAACTGATAAACAATGGGGGGGGCGTGTCGGGCCGTTGAAAGACTTCCGTGAAGGCTGCTCTCGTGTATCCTCGCTCATGGTTCCTCAAGAGATCCCTCCTCTCTCCTCGCTTCTCAGAGAAGGAGCGAGGAGAGAGCTTTGAGACATCCGTCAAGATGGCGGAGCAGAACAACTTCCGGTTCAAGCGGGGAGCGAGGAAATGACAAAAAAAAGAGACTTGGGATGTACCGTATAAATAGTAAAGACATGTGGAAACAGTTTTAATGACAAAACACAGTTTGTAGACCTCATCTGGGATTCTACCCGGTGACAGGTCTCGTAGTGTGCGACCCCCCCCCCCCTGTTGCCGGTCCCTCACGTAGTGTGAAAACCACAACGAATTACAAGACAGAAAGTTGCGTAGCGTGAACGGCGCAGCGATCTGACGGACAAACAGACAAGAAAACAAGACGCCGACTCACGTTCTGAAGCGGAGCTGGAGCGGGAATCGGTAGCAGTCCGCCTCCAGGAATCAGACTGGGTACTGGGGCGGCAGGTGCCAAAAGTGACAAGGCCTTGGCCTCTTCTGGGATTCTCCCTGCAGGACAGAAGCAGATATTAGTGAAGGCAATAGAGGGACGCTTCACTCTGTCTCCTCTATGTCTGCACAATAAGCCCACTGTATTCTAGAGAGAAAGAGAGCATACACTTCCCCATACAACCTACAAAGTGTTCTAGTGTCTACTGCTGGAGACCGAGCATCGTTACTTTGCTTTTGTTAAATTATTCTCCTCAGTCAATCTGAATTATCATTTTCAATAACAATCTTAACTTTTTCTCAGAAACAAAAAGAACACTGATTTTTGGCCTTGGTCTCTTTTCATAGATCAAAAAGAAAAGAAAAACACAATGCAGAGAATGAGTCAACACTTTGATGCATGGGTCACCTGTACTGGAAACATATTGGTCATGAACCATACGATATCAAGCATGGGCGCTTTTCCGTGTGGCGATCGTTTCGCAGTGTTGGAAAGGTGTGCAACACAACACAACCCCAATGGCTGCATCACTAATAGCACACAGGACATCAGATACAGAAAAGAACAACAATTGTAAGAACTGTGGGAAATGTTAGCCAAGACTTAGCCATGAAAAAAAAACAACCAATTAGGCATTTTGCTGATTCCACTCTGGACTAAAGTCAGCTGCTTCTATAGCTGGAGAAGAGAGCTACGTTAAGACCAGCAAGAAAAACTCTGTTCATTACAGCTGGAGGCACCGAGCATAAAATGATGATGTTGAATGGAGAGTTGCAGTGTTATTATTAAACATTAAACATCCATACCAGAGCTCTGTGACGTAGTAATGTGAGGGGGAGAAAAAAAACCTTTTACTACAGATTTACGGCACAGATGAAAAGCGCAAATAGAATTTTAAAAAGGTTCTACTGGGTCTCACTTTCAGAACGTCTAAACCCTCGCTACGTCAACAGGAGGAGGTGACAAGAGAGTAAAGTGTTAGTGATCCTCTTAGCATCCCATGTGTGATACACATCCCACCGGTATGCCGTAGCAACCTGGACAGAACTCAATCACACACAAGCCGCAGCTGTAGCGGAAAGAGAGAGGGGGGTGGGGGGTTGGACAATAATCAAAACAACAAACCAAAATAACAAATATAAAAAAACACAAAGCTAGAGATAAGCAATACTGTAGTTTCTAGATAGAGACAGTAGAGAGTGGACAACATGGGAAAGTATGAAAGGAAACAAACCAAAAGAAAAAAATAAATAAATAAAAAAAGAGACAAGGTGTCCATCTTGGAAGGTGCAGCAGGCTATTCTCCTGGTCACATTCCCCCTTGAAGGCTGCGTTGGCCCGATCGGGGATAGTGGCTTGGAAAACAATGCCTGACTCAGGCTAGTGTAGTGTAACAGCTGGGCCAGTCTAGTCATCTGATATGCACACATAATCACACAGAAAAAACATACAAAACCAAATTAATAAACTCAGTAGCCATCCAGCACTAAGTCACGTGGACAAAAAAGCATCAAGTTAGAGGTGATATCATTTTTTCTTTTGACTGTACACAAGGGGACAACAGTGGCACCAAAAGGGGGGGAGGAATTTAAAGAAAGGGAGCATCAAAAATAAAAAAAAAGAAAGAAAGAGAGAGAAAGAGGATAAAGTTAGCTGTGATGGCATGAACTTATTTTGGTAATTTCCATGAAACAAGTAACATTAATGGCAGCTTCTTATGGAAAATACACAATGCTACTTGTTCCAGAGAATCCAGTGTTTACAGTGAAGTAAATATTGTCTTGCAGCTTCAAAATAAAAAACACATTCAACATATCTCTAGTGTCGTCTGTAGAAAGCACCTTGTGACAGCAGACAGACAGTTTTTATTGAGGGGATACAACCAACCACCTGTCTCAAGTACTTGTGACAAAAAAAAAAAGTGGCTAAAATAAGAAACTACCCAAATGGCACAACTTGCCAATTTTTCCATGTGAGTAATAAAAGAAAACAAATAATCCAGAATTCAACCAAAACACCAAACGGTTGGATTCAAAAGGGGGGAGGAGGCCCACTCAGACAACTCAAGACATTTCATTCCCATTCTTTTTAAACGAAACGCACTCACCTTCCGCACATGGCACTACTATCAAGGCTCTGTCAACAAAAACAGTATTGGTGAGATGTTGCGCCACACCAACACTGGAGGGGTCTCGGTACTTTATATAGCACACTTTGGAGGAGAAAGACAGAGGGCCATTGCTGTCAAAGAAAAGACGAACAGAGAAGAAGAAGAAAAAAGGTTAGCTGTGTTTCGCTTTGGTCTTGATTTTTCATGTTTACGTAGGCCGCAAGTCCGCGGTGTTGCCTAGCTAGCCGTCGCCGGGGGCAGGGTGCTCTTACTCGGGCGGGTAGAGCCGCAGCTCCTCGATGTCTCCCAGGAAACCGAACAGAGTGCGCATCTGCTCGCTGCTCACGGTCGCGGACAGGTTGGTGACCTGGACGACAGCGGTCCCTGGTATCCCGCTCATTGTGCAAACCGGTTGACAATCTTTAAAGTGTGGTAATTTACACAAGTATGTATTTCTTAGTGTCCCCCCCTCCACCACTCGGTTCTATGCATAGTACATCCAAGCGGGCGGAACGAGAGGTTTCTTTGGCTTCCTCTTACTTTCGAAAAAGGAGTTGACAATAAACTCGGAGGTGGATTACCGCCCCCTAGCGTGGTGGCCGCTGCATTACAGCCTCGATGTTGCATTACTGGCAGCTTCAGGGTTAATTCTCTCTCAGGATGTATGTATGTTGATTGTCAGCATTTCATGTCTGATTAAGTGTTTGTTATTTATCAATCAACTTAAATCTGTTCGGCAGCAGCATGATGTGGAGGTCCCGGAACTAAAAACGGGGGAAGTTAATAGTGGATGCACCCTTTTGTGGACGCCACTAACTGCGCATGCGTAAATGTGATCAAAACACCGAATGAAGAAGGGTGACCGTATGAGGATATTTAAATAAAACAATGCCTTATCGAGTAAGAGAGGTCTTTATTTAAAATAAATACTGATAGAAGCTTTCATTTGTTTCCATGTTCATAGTTATTTTTTGCCACGGTGTATTATTGTGACTAACGGAAGGTTACAATAACAACAGCTAGCATGCTAACTGATAGCTAACAGTTTATTAGGCATTTAATATCAAAACCTGCTGTTTTTAGGTTAGCTTTGTCAGCCACAAGCTAGGAAACATGAACGCTATACGTATTGTGACTAAATATGTATTTGGTTTTGTATATACACGAATTGTTTCCGTGTTTCAGGCGCGCGGTGGCTTCAGTTTAATCTCAGTGTGACAGCTCGGTGAGGGATTAGAGAATGGACGTTACCTTGTCAGCCTCCGGTGGGACAGCAGAGGCCATGGAGGGGATCTGCGTAATGCCCGATTTGAGTGTCATCAAGACCGAGCAGTCGATGGGCGTGAGCCCAGATGACACGGGCACCCAAAATGTGGCCATGGGCATCAAGTTCATCCTGCCCAACCGCTTCGACATGAACGTTTGCTCGAGATTTGTCAAGTCGCTGAACGAGGAGGACAGCAAGAACATCCAGGACCAGGTCAACTCCGATCTGGAGGTGGCCTCTGTGTTATTCAAAGGTAGGTTTTTGGTTATCTTGTGACGATGTCTGACTTCAGTTCAGCTCACTTGCCTCAATATGTGTTTCAGCTGAGTGCAACATCCAGACGTCCCCCTCCCCGGGTATACAGGTGCGCCACGTCTACACGCCATCCACCACCAAGCATTTCTCCCCCATCAAACAGTCCACCACACTCACAAATAAACACCGCGGCAATGAGGTATCATCCACGCCTCTGTTGGTGCATTGTAAGTACCAAAGTCGTTTTATTTACTTAATGTTTCCAACACGAATTAAGTCCAAATGTTGATCATTACCTGCATGTTGTTCCTCTCAGCTTTGTCCATTCATCAGCTTGCAGCCCAGGGGGAAATGGTGTTTCTGGCCAGCAGGATTGAACAGGGTAGGTAAACCCATCTGGGTTGTCGGGTAGAGTTCCTACTAGTCATGCAGTGGTGAAATGATCTGAAACACCACTCACTATCACTGGTGTTTTGAGCTGCAGCTAATTCTTATGTTCATTAAAGACAAATCAGAAAATAGTGAAAAATGGCCACTGCATTTTAGTAGAGTCCAGTGTGACGTCTTTAAATGTCTTATTGTGTCTGAACATTTAAAAAACCAGCGATATAGAGTTAACTATCATATCAGACTAAAGTAAATCAGACAATATTCTTATTTAAGAAGCTGGAACCAGAAAATATTTGGCAGGTTTTGCTTGAAAAATGACCAAACAATATTACAGTTGTGTCGAACAGACGCACTCCTGCAAAGGATTGTGGGTATGGAGATGCAGTAATCACATTGCTTTTCATGTATCATTTTAACAGAGACTGTAATCAACCTCCAAGATGAGGAAGGCTTCACCCCCCTGATGTGGGCAGCCGCACACGGACAAATCGCCGTCGTTGAGTTTCTCCTCCAAAATGTACGGAAAGCTCGACGTGTCGTTCAGATCTCACGGTTTTATTAATATTCCATCACGTCCTCTATTTATTTGCTGGTCGTCACTCTTCGCCGTAGGCTTCTGACCCAAACGTCCTGGCCAAAGGGAGGGAGAGTGCTTTGTCCTTGGCCTGCAGTAAGGGATACACCGACATTGTGAAGATGCTCATCGACTGCGGTGTTGACGTCAATGAATACGACTGGGTAAGAATGCCGAGCTTCTATCTCATGTTCTGCTCTAGTAGAATAGAACAACAACAACAAATGATGAGGTTATGCTATTAGGGAGATCTCTCACTCACGTTGTGCTGGGGTTTGATGTCATCTTGCCATCTAATGAAGCCCTTTTGTGTGATTTGATGATCCTTCATGTGGCTTTCAGAATGGAGGAGCCCCTCTGCTCTACGCCGTCCATGGGAACCATGTGCGCTGTGTGGAAATCTTGTTAGGTGAGGACGAATGTTTCACTGAAAGTAACACCTGTGGTCACAAACATCCATCCGTCCCACAGGATAAACATGAATCTCTAGTGTTTCGGTATTGTTATGTGTTGCTGCTACCATAAACATGTGAAATAATAAAGTCCGGGGTTTGTTTGTGTGTCTTCCAGAGAGTGGTGCTGATCCGACCATTGAGTCAGACTCTGGATTCAATGCGATGGACATGGCCGTAGCGATGGGTCACCGGAATGGTGAGTGTAAATGAAGCAGATAGTCTGAGCCTAAATTTAATGGGTTTAAAACATGGAGGCGCACACAGACTGAGAAACAGGTATTGACATTACTGGAACAAATTGTGCTTTAAATAAAAGGTGTTTTTTTTCTTTACGCAGTAATCGCAGTAGATTAAAAAGAAAAAATGACCATTCATCCACGACTCACACACTGATGTATGCTTCTCTGTTTAGTTCAACAGGTGATGGAGGCACACCTGCTGAAGTTACTGATGGGAATCAGAGAGTGAACTGTGACACAAGTGACGGCTCTGGACAATCACGTAGCGCGGCCGGGCTGTGGGCCGGCACTGATACTCTGTTCCCTCTGAGTGATGTTTCAGGTCAACATGATTCTGTTGGCGTGCCGCACATGAAGGTTTGTGCGGTGAACCCACTTTCTAACCGTTTTACTTTTCTTTCCACGTTGAATGTGGAGTAGCAAATCTGATCCAGATACAACCCAGCATGCACTGCTCTCTCTGTAGTATGCTGCATCACGTGGAGTGCAGTGTAGGATTGATTTTGCGTTAAAGCATGGAGGTTTTAATATTGTACATGTTCCATCCTTTTACCGCCATGTCAGCGGTTTATTTTTTAAACTAACTTATTCGCCATAAAAAGAAGGCATTTTTAAAAGAATACCAATGTAATATGTTGAATGGCCTCATGTTCACACCGTGTGGTTTTCATAGTGAGCTCGTTCTGCTCTCATGACTCAGTGGGTGGATTGAAAATAGGTTTTTACAGTGTGCTTTTATGACGCTGCCAAGCTGTTTGTCGTACCGACGTTATTTATTTGAGAACCGTAGTCAGTGTTGTAATGTGACTAAAGTATATTGATGTGAAGACTGTTTGGTTTCTGTGTGTTGTGATACTAATGTTTACCGACGTGTTGTGCTTTCTGAAATAACCTCACACCTCATTAAAGCATCCAACAGGGGTCTTGTGGTGCTGTTTGCCTGTGTGTGTGTGATGGTGGTTCATACCAGTCATAGGTGGTTTATCTACAAATACCTTGTACTGACCACCATGAAAGGTCAAACCACTGTTTAGTCACTGATATGAATCTGTTATTTAATCAAAAGATCTTTTTAAACTGGAAAAAGAGAAAACACTTACTTCGTAGCTGTTGAGTGCCGTACATGGAGTTAGAGGAGAAGTCTCTATCACTGAATATAAAGCTTTAGGAATACACAGTTATGAGATAAGATTCTAATAAGCTGTTTCTTGCACGGCATAACAATTTTGTTAATCTGTCTTTAAGTCAGAAATCCTTCAGTGATGTCCTTTAACTGAGTTGTATAATAATGTAACACTTCAGGACGCCGACTAATTTACAGAAGAGCAACAACATTTTTCCAGCGGTGGAAATCGTCCTCGAGGAGGAAAAAACAAAACAGAAATTGTGTCTTTTTTTGACAGTAGCAAAGGTTTATTTCGGATACGGTGGTTTGAGCGAGGCCACGAAGAATGAAGGTTGAGTAACATGGAAGATGTACAGCGGGAGCCTTAAACACCACGTTTTACACAAATCTCTCACTAACTGGACACACGGAGCACAACAAGCATGTGGAGAGTCTGGTGGAAAAGAGGAAGTGGAATGAGTACTAGAATACCGTACTCTTCGATACTGCTTTCCCGGGTTTTTAATACTTCACAATACTATTCTAGAAAATTACTCTAAAAAATAATTCATAAGAGTAGGCAAGTACTTTGTTCAGGTGTTGCACATTTAAAAGAACGCTCACAGTCAAAAGTTGACAGATTATTCATCTTCTCGGGTACTTTAACGATTCGCTCTCCACCTCTCCAAATAGACAGAAAAACATCTTGGGCCTCACATGGTCCCGTCAGACACGTCAGGGAGTCCCGTTTCCTCTAGTTAGCCTCATCCTTGGATGCTTCATCAAAATTCTCCACCAGATCTGAAACAACAAAAGACTCCGTGGTGAGCTGATTGATTCGGGGAGAGAGGCATGTCCATCTGCACAAATCACTCTCCGAGGTGCCGGAGCACAATTCAGGAAAAGCGTGTTTATCTGAAACGTGATACTCGCTGCAGCGCAATCCAAATGATTTGCTCATCTTTTCCCCACTCCCACATGGACTGCAATGTGCTGGACAGATGGGACCCTTCTCAACTACTGAGAGCAGCTGTAAAAATGATGGGGGGGCGAAGCATCAAATGGTCGTCTTCAATTACTCCCGTGAAATGTGAGAAATCTGCCTTTCAAAGCCCGGGCTCAAAAGGTCGAGGGGTTAAAATGGAAACAATTCAAAAAGGTCTGAGTGAACATGTTCCTTCAGAGGGAGAACAAAAAGGAAACTTAACTCCAATAACAACATGATGGCGATGGCTGTTAACCCGTGAGCCACCGGGCTGCTCCCATTGCTGAATACATGTGTAATCGTTTGTTACATTAGCGAGGACCCGAGAGACGTCCTGGGAAAAGATGAGGTTGTTGTAATGGCAACCTCATGTGTGGGGCCCATTCTCCTCACAAAGAAAAGCAAACTGGATCTTAAGATCTTATAAACAATGAACATGAGATTTAAATACTAAACCCTGCATTGCACCATCACTCTAAAGTCATTGATGAAGCCCCTTCACGTGACCCCCTTTCACGAGCCAGAAGAAAACAAAGCTGCCACGGTTATTTAACTAAGGGAAAGACATCGTCCCATAATGGACAAGTGTGAAGAAGCATTTCCAAATAAGGGCCTTTGTCCACATAGTGTGTCTTTCTGAGCGCCAGCGTCTTTTTTCTGAGCGCTCCGTGTTTTTTGTGCGTCAAATTGAAAATCTCTGAACTTTTCAGGAAAAAGCGCTGATGACGTCACCGTAGACATTATGGAGGAGAAGCTTGTTTTGGCCGTGTTGATCCATCCTGAGCTTTATAAGTCACACAGACACCATCACAACACACACATTTGCGCGAGCAGATCGCCCAAATGCATAATAAAAATCTAAGGAGCGATTCAAGTCTGTCATACAACGGAGGTTTGAGTTGTGATATGTCATCAGAGGAACATAAAAAACAAGATGAAGCGGAGTGCTTTTCTGCCAGAAGAAGAAGCTATGTGGACACAGACTAAGACTGCAGAGGAGGAATCTATTGTTTTGAATGGTGGAACAAACAATTGTGCATGTAACGCAAAAATGAGTAATTTGAGCACTCACCTGGAACGTCATCATCTTCGTCTTCTTCTTCTACTGTTGCAATCGGCGCTTTTCCATCTGCAGCTGCAAGAAGAGAAAACGATCAGTGAGAAGTTTAAACGGTGAAAACAATAAAAGGTTAAATCCTGAGGGCAGCTAGACTCATCTCTTTAAACAAGGACAATACAGTCCTGAATCCATAGTGTCATTTACGCTAAATGATGACTTTATTCAACACGCTGTGGTGCGATAGGTTACTGACCCTGTTTGGGCAAAGCCTCGGCAAGTCTCCGCAGGCTCGTCAGGCTGTCGGCTCCCAGCTGGTTCAGGATACCCGGCAGCATCTCGGTCAGCTGCTTGGTCTCAGCGTGGCCGGTGATGGTGAAGGTGTTGGCTGCGAGGGAGGCCTGCACTTTGGGATTGTTGAAGTGGATGACTGTTCCCTGATTTGTAAACATGTTAACCTGTAAGAGAACAAAGTGTTATGCTGTTAACAAGCAGAATCAGATTCACCTGTAATCACAGTGGGACAGCTGAGAGGAACATTTTTTCCTACCTCCTCAATACCGGAGATGTTGTTGACACCGAGCTTCTTTAAGGAGAATTGCAGCTTCTTGTCGTCCGCGGTGGCCGTTCTGTGTACAACCTTCTTCTTTCTGCGAGCGCTACCCTACGGAGACATCCAGCCAAACATCTGTGTAAACCTCCAGTTCTTCATGATCTATTCATGCATCATCCTCGGTATCGTGCTCAGAGCTTAAGATGGATTTAGCAGCAGAGCCTGAGCAGGTCTTACAGCATTAGGAAACAGCAGAGACGGCAGGGTGTGTTGCAGACAATACAGCACGTCATGTAACCTGTGATAATGCGTCGAGTTGGTCACTTACCTTTCCGCCGATGCGGACTTGTGCCTGTAGCTTAGCAAGTTTTTCTTGATTCATAATTGATTCTTTCATCTGGAAAAAGAAAGAAAGCACATTATATAAAATCTATCGTAGTGTATCTTTATACTGACAGCATTCATGTTTGACAAACTCTTTAAATATATTTTGGATATTTGAAAATAAATAATGTGAAAACTGCAATATTGTATATCTCATAAACATCACAATCTTACAATATCAATAATAAACTGCTAAAAATAACAAAAATAACGTGTTAGGGTAATTCAATAAACTTCATGTGGTTGCTGAAAAGACAGCACAAAGCACATCTGTACCAAAACAAGCTAGAAATCTTTGTTTTCTGACATCAAGTAACAAACTGAGTTTAGTGCATTCAGTGACTTTAACACTGGTGTGATCTGGTGAGTTCATGAGCTTCTGATCCAGAAGACAAAGAATATTCCTTAAAGGTGTGTAACGGATCATTGTGGGAAAACAAACACACCAGGTGTAGCTGAAATGTGACATCCTTGCAAAACTGTTATTCTGCAAAAAGTGTTTGTTTTCATCCCTCATTGAGGTGCTTCTGTGGCAAATCACCACCTCAGCAGCAACTCCGGGGTTGCCATAAATAATTGCCCACTGTAGATAGCATGACAACACCTTTATTACAAAGAAGTGATACTTCCCCTATTGGGAGTTTTTAGTAATGCACATGTGCACACTTAAAAAAGGCATGATCACATCACTACAGTGCTGCATGTGCACATATCACATTATCATTCTCCTGTATAATGCACCGGTGAATAACAGCCATGTTAAACATATATCTGCACCTTTTTTTTCTTAGCTTCTGCTAGCTAACGGTTCCTCGTCTATGTTCTCTGTATTATTGACAACAAAACGAAGACACACAACAAAATAATATGGCGGGCAAAACAAAGTAGGGCCATGGGTAACGTCAGAGTGTGTTAAGCTAACGTTCGCGGACTAATTCAACCAACCGTTGTACCGAAACAAGGTGTGGTTTAGCTTTTGTGCAATAACTTGTTAAGCTAACTTTAGCTAGCCTCTTATGCTAACTGGGAGCTAGTGACACACAGCGTCGGCAACGTTAGCTTCAAACCGCGGCAGATATTCAGCCATCTAGTCAGAAAAGGCTTTCGTTTACCTCTTGCCGTCGGATCGGGGTAAAACAGTGGTGGGAAGAAGTTATTTAAAGCTCCTCACTGACCTGTAAACTAACAGCAGACACATGCGCGGAGCAAGATGGACGTAAGAGAGGAGGGAGGAAGTGACGTAGGGCGAAAAGCGCAATACAGCTGCGAGGGTTTTCCTACCCCGAGTTTAGCTTCGCAGGCAACACTTTCTACCGCTCGAAACGGTCCTTATCAATACAATAGGACAGTTTGGGTTTTTGTGCTGCCCCAGATTAAAAACATATGCACTATTTGTAATTTTAATGTATACTTAAGAAAACGGTACAAAGCATATAACTTGGAATGCACTGTGTTGCAGTATGATGAAATCAACATGTTTTTTGCCTTTTTTTAACATACATGAATAATGACCATTATGTACACTTGTAATGGCAAAAAAAGTATTAATTTAATCTGATCAGACAGCTAACTCACTGTAAAAGCCCTCCAATAATGCTACTTAATTAATTACTTTAGTCAGATTATCCATCTCCAAGAGTGGAAGGCTTTATGACAGATTATTTAGGTCGCACTAAGTGAGAAAATACATACATGTATTGAATGGCTAGTAGCCTAATTGATGAGGGATTTAAACAATTAAGGCTCAGCCCCTGCTGTCTGGCTATTACGACTTGTGTTGGACAGGCCAGCTCCCATATGTGCAAAGATGGCCTGGAAAATGAACTGACTGCTTACAAGACTTGTTATTTGTGTATTTTCAGGGCTTCTACTGTCAGGTCGTTTCACTAGAAAGAACAAAGATACGAGATTATGATCCAGTGCAAACTCACAAGAGTTCTCCTCAGGATTATTTGCAACCTGCAGAATTCTAGGAGGGGTGGTCATTGAAGGAGAATTACCTCAAGTACCCTCCATGAAGGACTGCAGAAAAGCTTGTGAGGAGAATACTGAGTATAACAATGTGTGTCCTGCCCATTTGGAGCAATATTGGACACCTTGATCACTTCACTCAGAAGACTCCCCATTCAGAGGTCTTCTTGGCTGTGGATGATTTGGCTGGCGGAATGGTTATCAGAGGATCAGCAAGTTTTAGCTACAACCTTTTTATTCTATTATGAGGATGACATTTTAAAAAGTGTGCAAAGGGCTGTGGAATAAACTCCACTCTTTGTCAAAAGTGTGTTTAACATTCCTCGAGTCTGTGAGCATGAGTCAAAGGGAGGGGAATTCACCAGAAACTGTTCCAACACCTTGTTTGTTTGGTAAAAGACACATTTGAACATTGAAAAGACACATTTGCATATTTCAGTGCAGTGTTGGAATGCGGCCTGCTTTTGCATGATAAAGCAGACAGTTGTTTGGGGATTAGAAGGAGGATCATATTATACATATATTCAATTATTGTAATTAATCTAAATTTGCCAATATAAATAAAGAGAGAGAGAGCTCTTTAATTTGAGTATATCATCACAGACACGCGTTTGATAATGACGATTAACTCTGTAATTAATAAATTATCCTCTATCTCTCTTTTAGTAAACATATAAGCACACAAAGGCAAAGTTTGTCCATTGTACCCAAATGTGCTCACGGCAGCGGTCATCCCGTCACAAACTTACACCTGTAGCGTGAACCTTTTAACCTCATTCAAGCTCAACGGTTTGCTGCGGTGAAAGTGAAAAAAGTAAGAGTGAGTGTGTGCTGGTCCTGTTGGGTCAAACGGGGGAATGATATCATTGTGCCGTCTCTTTGAATTCAAAAGGATATTTCACCTCAGATCAGCTTTACTCCACCAGATCCCGAACTGTGTGTGTTTGTCTTGTGACTGCATTGCATTCTGGTCTATTGAGGGTGCTGTTAAACTATTTTATGTGTGTGTGTCTCTGAAGCCTCCTGTGTGTAGATGTTCAACATTACAACACAAAATGAGTCTGAAGTGAAGCATTTTCTCTTTGATTCTGAAGGACTGTCACTAAAACCAATGAAGCCGTCACCTGTTTATCACAACTTCAAGATCATTTTACATACAGCCGTTTAATTAATCAAATCTGATCTTTCTAAACATATTGTGTGAAGAACAATCACACTACAAAATATAATGAATACATTCCCACAATGATTAAAAGCCATATTCATAATAAGGATCAGTTCTCTTTACTTATTTATTTGGGATTTAGTTTAAATATCTTTTGCAGACATATTTGCAGCACCTTTACACTCAACCTTTCACCCTATAAGACACTGAAACGTATCCAAATAATGAATAAAGAAGCATAAAACACAAACACATTCTCTTAGATGGAGACAAATACACACCGTTTGAACGAGGCTATTAAAACTAATATTCACTCATGAATGTGGAATAACAACAACATTTAGTTTATTTTTCCTGCCCCCCCATGAGCTGAGGTGCAGTTTCTAGAACTTTATGAGGACTTCAGAAAACATGTTGGAGAGACTGAGAAACCATCACTCTTCAAAAAAATACACACTGCAACAAGTTTTGACACTTTTATGTATTTTTCTAAACATAACTACAATGAGTTTTAATGCATATTTAAAACATTTAAAATTGTATTCAAGCTATTTTTTCTTACATTTAATTCCGGATTGTATATTCTTCAGGCTGCACTGTTCTTCTCTGCAGTCCACCTCCCGCTCGGTGTCTCGCACTTTGTCTCGCCTCTGCTGCATGTGATGCACATTAATTACATGGCTCGCGGTCCCCTCGCGGACCCCTCTCAGGCGGTGACACTGTGGGGTCGTCAGGCAGACAGGCGGGTCGCGGATCGCGTTTAAGTGCTTTCTTGGTCCTTTCGTGGCACAGGAACAGCCTCGGATCGCAGAGGGGGAAGTTAGAAACACGTTAGAGGTGGTTTACCACACATGCGAGGGGCTGCTGTTGGAAGTGTCGGCTCAAGAGGAGAAAGAAATATTCGCCTAATTCATTCTTTTGATGCTGACTTTTATTTATCCTGATAGTGTCAGTCAAGGCATTTGGGGCTAACTTTACTTTATTAAATAGACAAACTCGTACTTTTGCTTTTGAACGGTTTCTAATAAGTAAACTATAACTTTTGGTACAAAACGAACTTTTTGGATGTACAAATGCTCGAGAGCCATTTGTCATATATCGCGCGTGCATCCTGGTTTCAAATAAAGGTGTGAGGAATAAGACAGGGAGAACTAAAGCAGGCTTTAGTAAATTTTCAATAAATGTAATAGATCCATGGATTATTTTTACTCACACACATTTTAAATCATTTTATGGATTGCACGGGTTATGCTTATTGATTATTAAGGTCAAATCATTGAGGTGAATGACTTATATCAGACAAAATATTCAATTAAAACAAGATTCCTCTGAACAGCAATGATTCATTCACTTTATTTGAAATACAAAACTATAAAGTAAATTATTAATCAACTTGCATGTGTGTCTGTTGATCAAAATATATTTTGTCTATGGATTAAGAAATAATAATCCATATATTATATTGTGTTTATTATATAGTACAGATAATATCAAACTGTGAAGTGGTATAAGTGCATGAATATAATAAATACAGCCTTCAACTGGTTATAATAAAAGCAAATAATCAGAGTAAACAGAAATTACAGTGAAAACAGTTTGTATTTTTCCCAAAAACTTTGTCATTCATTTTACAACAGCACAGTTATATTGCATACAAAAATAATTAGTATTTATAGACACCAGTACAATATTTTAGAGCTTTACCAAGATGGTAAATCAGTTGTACTTTACACCAAACTCTATACTAAAAATGGTCAGTTTATGGGAAGTTAGTGCTAAGTTGTTGGTTGTGACACACACAGCTGTAACAGTTTTTTTTTCTTTTATGGGCCATAAGTGTTTTAATTATGAGACAGGTTCACCGCTAGATGGCGCTGGTCAAATGAGAACCTCTGAAAAGTTACTGAAGGGCTACAGAGTATACCTGAACACAGTTTAAATCTAAAGTCATCATAAGTAACTTTATGTACAGATTTGTATTAGAAGTGTGATTACAAGCAATCTACACATGACAACGGGCTCCTCTCTTTAGAACGAAACAAAAGTGAATGAAATGAAATGTGCAGAAGTTTGGGAAAGTCGTTTTCCCCCCCCCCCCCTAAATAATTTGATTAAACTCAGCAAGAGGGCAATATTTTTGGAAAATGTGATTACTTTATTTGAATTGTTTTTTGCTAAGATAAAAAGTATGAGCATGTCTGCTGTTTTCTCTCACAAACAAAAGAGGAAAAGTTGCAAAATCACTTTCAGCCAACCATCGATAACATTTGAAGGCAAAGCTGAACTGCAGCGAGATATAACCATAAACATAATCTATACACTCATACTGTATTATCTCACTCCTATATTGAGTCACCAAGCTGTAAATGAACCGTGAGACTAATAATAGTGTAAATTTAACAATCATGAGCTTCACGTGTTTTATTTAGGGTCCATTTCAATAAGCAATCTAGACATTTGGATTTAAATATATATTATATATAGGCTATCATCATACTTTTTAATGGTTCTATACACAGTGCATTTTTTAATTAATTTAATATATTTTTTATTTTATGTGATTAACCTGTAAAACTTTGAGATTTAAAAAAATATTTTTGGACACCTATTTAAAAGTTCCATTCTCTAAAATAAAATGGCATTAATATAAATGTCCACACACACACACACACACACACACACACACACACACACACACACACACACACACAATGATCCAGACGCACGGCAGAGGCCTTATATCTGGGGCTTGCATGCTCTGCGTGACCCGTGACTGATTCGAGTTAACAGCTGACTCTTTTCCATTACAAATGGCTCGCGGATAATCTAGATAACTACCGGATCACGCAAACGAAGCTGCCTGGATACGGTGCACCACGTTTTGGCACTATTTCAGAAGGCAATTCACATTAAATACCGCAGTTCTTTGAGATAAATTAAATGTATGTATTAGCAGAAACAACCCCCCTTTAAAAAATAATCCCAAGTATTCTGAGGCTTTGTTTACGAACATTAAAAATGACAATGTGTATGCTTCCTTAATGTTTCGGTAACTTATAAATAAATAAAACGCTGTCAAGATATCTGCTTCGATCTTATCGTTGGCCACACCAGTAATTAGACTTTCCTAAGTATCTTTTTTATCTATTTTTGCGCAAAACACTTTGGTGGAATAAAAACGTCAGATTATTGCGGACCAAATGCCACCATGAATGACAATAAAAAGGATGTACCAAACTTTTATTTTTTTATTTTTTTACAATACTCACAGTTAATTTTCAAAGATCTTTTTTGTGTTATTTATTTTTTTCTCTCTCTTTTCATTTGCCTCGCTGACGTTTCCTCCCCATGTGACCAGGGCGCTGGTATAAATAACGGGAGAAGATCCGCCCCCTCTGTGATTCAGGTTTTGGCCCGTTTGCAGGTTTCCCGGCACATTTTTCTCCGCCTGGCATCGACGGGACCGCTCGTTAGACGGCGATACAAAAAAATAAAAAAAACACCCTGAAAACATGTGGAAATAGCGAGAAAACAGGGGGACAGCTCTCACCGACGGCGACACGCGCTCCTTTCCTCTCCTCTCCCCCTCCTCCTCCTCCTCCTCTTATGAGTTGTTGAAGAGGGAGGGCAGGGCAGCTCGTGCATCTCATCGTCTTCCTCATCTGGCGTCGGGAGGGCACAGCCGTGTGCGAGCCATGACTCTGAGCTCAGAGATGTCGGATGCCTCCATCCTGTCAGAAGAGACCGACATAGACGTGGTCGGCGAGGGGGAGGATGGAGACAGCCAGACGCGCTCCTACGTGGACGAGGTGGCACAGATGCGCGACGGCATCCTGCTGTCCGGCTCTCCTCCTCCGTGCCTGGACGGCTCCACCTCCTCGAGGGACAGCTACAAGCCGGCGGGCAAGAACACCCTGGTGAAGCCCCCTTACTCCTACATCGCCTTAATCACCATGTCCATCCTGCAGAGCCCCAAAAAGAGGCTCACGCTCAGCGAGATCTGCGACTTCATCAGCAGCCGCTTCCCGTACTACCGGGAGAAGTTCCCGGCCTGGCAGAACTCCATCCGGCACAACTTGTCCCTCAACGACTGCTTCGTGAAGATCCCGAGGGAGCCCGGCAACCCGGGGAAGGGCAACTACTGGACCTTGGACCCGGAGTCGGCCGATATGTTCGACAACGGGAGCTTCCTGCGGAGGAGAAAGCGCTTCAAGCGGCCGCAGGCGCAGGACTTGCTGCGGGAGCACAACAGTTTTCTCCCTGCCGCTGCCGCGTACGGGTACGGACCGTACGGCTGCGGGGGATACGGCATCCAGCTCCAGTCCTACCACACGCACTCTGCACTTTTTGCGTTTCAGCAGCAGCAGCAGCACTCCAGGCATTCGCACTCGCACACGGGGACCGTTATCCCGGCGCCGTCTTTGATGCCCACCAGCACGGACTTAGCCAGGAGTCGGTTTTATCCCCAGCTCAGCTCCAGTCTGGGCTCAGCCAGCGTGCAGGCTGCGGCCCCGGTGCAGAAGTCCGGCTCCCCGGTGCAGCGGTCTCCCTTCTCCATAGAGAGTATCATCGGGGGGTCGCTGAGCCCCTCCAGAACTTCTCCGGCCGTTATCTCGGTCTTACCGTCCTCTTTGGGGCCTCCAGGGACCAGCCGGCCGCAGACCGTCCACCCCGGAGCCGTTTTACACCCGGTAGAAAACTTTCCGAACAGGGTCGTCAGCGGCACTAGCGACTGTTAAATGTCTTAACAAGAAACTTTTTTTCAAGAAACTTTAAAAAAACGAGAAAGAAACAGCAACAAAACAAAAAAACGCCCCTCTTTGAAGGTAGGATTATTTTTGTATGTTTGTTTGATAGCACGCAGCTGAATGATGGACATAACAAAACACTATTTGTGCCTATATTCATGCTGTTTAAAAAAGAAGAAGATCTATTTATGTTCATTGTTTTCGGTGTGAATCAGACTTTTGACCACGAACTTTCTTGTATTTTTACCATGAAGTAATTCGTTTCAGTCACTGTTTAGGGCGTCTCAGGATAACGACTTAATGGGCAGGTTATAAATGATCACATGTTTTGAAAAATAGGCTAATAATGTATTTGTGTCAAACACATCCATGTTTTTTTTCTCTTATTAGATTGGCAAATCAAAACACTTTTTTATGGTTTTGATTTGAACTTTGTATTGAAAAAAACAACAACACAGAGAGCAAAGTCATACATTTATAATAATATGCAGTGTGTGTTTATTTCAGTAATAAAACATTGTACATTTTTTGGCAAGTATTGTGTAATTGAAGTGTGATATTTTTACACAGTTTGTTTTTCAACAAGAAATAAATTTCTTTTTGCAAAAAAAAAAAAGGTAATTTGTTTGGAAATACATTCATTAAATGACGCTGAGCTTGCTGGGCCTGCATACTGCAACCCCAGGGCTATAATTAACAGGATATTAGGCTAAATAATATTGCAAAAAAAACTTAAAATGCAAGTGTTGATGATTTTATCGTGTGTTTACATTGAGATGGTGCTAATTGATCAGCTGATATACAGGTGAACACCTGTATGGCTTTGAGGTTTGGAAAGTTTAGAAAAGCGTGTGTGTGAGCCACAAAAAAATATATAATTTATTCATCTATTTGTTTACGTGCTCAAACAGTTTGCTCAGATGTTTGCACACTCTGATGTCAGTGTGGGACATGCGCACACGAGGCCTGCGTGTCACTCTCACCTCTCTCACACTCATCCTCGTAATTACGGTGAGCGGACTGGAAGGTGTGAGTTTGCCTGCTTCATGTCGGTGATTACACCGATGTCGACAGCTGGTCAGCTCTTGAGAAAACACTCCTCGTGTAATATTTCATTATCTGCTCTTATTTGACACAGTTTTGTTTTTTTTGTTCCCCCCTCACCAGAGAAAATGAAATGTTTGCTGCTTGGAGTCGTGGACATGTAGTAGAGGGGTTGGAACCACTCACCTTTGTTTTGGTGTTTACTCACCTTTATTTTGGCTCCCACACGGGGAAGAACATCATTTGCATTATGATGACACAAAAAGCCAAATGGAGTGGTATTTCTACGCAGAAGCACACATTTGCAGATAATTACGCACCAGATTACTCAATATTTATATGTTAATAATCTCCAAAACAAATGTCAGTGCCAAGCATGGTGCTGCAGAGCTGCGACCCCTGTGCGTTGATTGTGTGCGACTCCTTTTCTTATATTTAAATATTTCATGAGCTCTGCAGCCTATGTGGGCAAGCCTAGACGTATTACTGTACAGGCGCGCTGCTTCCGTGACTGGATGTGTGCGCCCGTCGACTGCGTGTGTCTGCATCTGCCCTTATTCAAAGCAACGTGTGTGTAGTGGATGGCTAAATTGGTGCAGCGCTTAGAGCCAGTTCACTAGGCCACGGGAGGACAGCTATTGCGTGATGATGTAACACGCAACGAGAGACAGGAAGGCGCGCACGCACACACACACACACACACACACACTAAAGAGAGAGAGAGAAGAGATGGAGGTCAGTATGGACTTGTTTACAAATAGAGGTTTAAAGAGGGAGAATGCAGGAATAATTCATGCAATAAGGTAAATAGTAACTTGTGTAGCCGCGCAGGATTTTTCCCAATTGCTGTACTTTCACAATAAGAGTCTTACAGGGATTTACACTGTGTCTGTGGTCAATTGTAATTCATAGTATTTTTATGGAATATTTCAATAAATCATATCTGGGTATTCCACCTATACCAATATTGTGTTTTACCTTGTTGTAGGTATTCGTGAATAGCCTGGTGAATTATCGCATATGTGAAATATTCCTATTGCATCATAATGTGCGATATTCTGAAGGATTTCCTCTGAAATACTCAACTAAGAGCTGATTGAACAGTCTAACATTGCCTCTGCATGATTACTCTGGCAATTACTTTTTAATTTGTCAAATAGTTCGTTGGGGGGTGATAATGCTAATATGTGGGCCTATTGCACGTGTCAGCCTGCAGCTTCGAATCAATTATAAACTTCATTGGGAAACACCGCCTTCATACCGAGCATTCAAACGCCATGTTGAAAACACGTTTCATGAAGAATGAATGAAGCCAAACTCTCTCCTCAGAATCTAAAGCATCATTGTGCTAGAATAATGAGCTACGTTGTAGGATACTTTTTTCATGTGACTTATAGGCGCTGCTTTAACTTCCTGGTTAAATTAATACAATAATACATAACAGTAACGTATGCGCACACAATTGACTACCGGAATGGTATATCCATCCATCCATCCATCCATCCATCCATCCATCCATCCACCAAGTAATAGTTTGGTTGATGAAAATAGAGTAAAAAAAAAAAAAAAATCTATCAGGTTGAATAAGGATTTTTGTTGTGAGAAAATCGGCTTACACTCATTATTATACTTATTTAAAATGATATGATCATGTAATAATATTGTTATATATTTTATCATTTTCTAAATGATTATTTACTACAATTTCTATTACTAATGCTATTATTATTATGTTATTATTTGTAGTTGTAGTATAGTTATAGCACTAGCAGTATAGATAGCAGTAGCAGTATTTCAGATTCAGCAGTCTGTTTGATCAGCCTGTCTTATTATTTATGAATACATTTTCAGTGTAGTAAAGTGCAGACAAACTCATGAGGAGTGTTTAAAGTGGAGCATCACAATGTTTAAGGGTGTTGGTTGTGCTGGATTCACCAATACGCAAAAAGGTGCAGAAAACCTTCTAAACCTCAGAGAATCAGAATCAGCTTTACTGACGCTGGAAAGGAATTTGACTCCTGTTCTTCGTTGCTGTCTTTGTTCCAAGAACACTTCATAAAGAGATATACATAGTCAAAGAGCTATACACAAGGACAACAACGCTGATCAAAGATCAGTAAAAACAAACAGAGCTATTATGTGCAGGTGATAAAACGTCTGTAATGACCCAGTAACTGATTTGGTTGGTTAGGTGTTTTGTCATCAGCAGAATATTTAGGTAGTCCTGCAATTAAGAAAAAGGGTCTTTTCATGAAATGTCATAGATCATGTGGGCATCAGCCTCCTTGAGCATGACTGAAGCTCAGTTAGCAGTTTATCCTGCTGGGTCACAGGTCGTGAGGAGAGGGGATAAAGCACCGCACTCAGCCCATAACAGACATTGGGCTTTGGGTAAATGTGTTGGAGCATTCGAGGCTGCGAGAATGATCTATATTTCAAAGGAAGTCGTAAAGACTTTGGCTACTTTACAAACGTAGAGGCCAGTAAACGGGTCATTTTGGGCCACGTTCGGACACCTACACTGAATAAATGAGTCTCGTACGGAGCTCAACAGCGTCACATCACTTGACGAAGCAGAAAAAGTGTGTTGTGAAGACAGAAAACCAGCAACAATGACTGGGAATACAAGTTGGATTCAAACTGTTACATCTGATAGGATTAATACTGGCTTAAAATGTGCTCGCTATGGAATAAAACAGACACATAATGCACAAATATTTATATTTAAAATATCTTCCTCTCCTTTCAGTTGATTATTTTTGTATAAATGCATCACCACACAGCATGAGCTCAACTCATTTATGACCCCATGATGTAAAAAGGAGGACTTTGAATTCCGATGTAGTTTTTCCTCCAATGTGAAATATTTTAAGGTTAATAAAAACACTGATATTAATGCGTTTAAAAAACAACAACATTCACACTTTTATTATTCTTCAATAATAAGTGCCCTGTTCGTTTAATTTAGTCTCACTAATAACAGTTTACGACGCAGTTTAATAGTAAACATGTTTAGTTTCTGGCCCCATAATGCCTCTAATAAAATGTGGAATTACTACCAGCCCAGGTGCTCTGCATCCACATGTAACCCAAAGTCCTCTGTGAGCTGCACCAAGCTATTTATATGCTGTTTTTATTGATCTTTATAATAATACATGGTCATAAAAACAATCACCATTATCGCAACTATCGTTATTTATAGCACAAATCATACAAGTACAAGTATAAGTACAACTACTAACAATGTGTTTTAACCTCGTACAAATAAGTAAGGAGAGACATCTTGAAGGAAAGACACTTTAAAAGATCTCAAATAAATAGTTTCTGTGTATCTGGACATTAGATGCATTTGCTATTTTGAAGTTACTTTTTACTTTTAACATGAAGGTCAGAAATGTATTCTTATCTATGCATGTTTGATTAATATTAAAGAAAAATAAACAATAATAACAGTGATAATAATAATCACAACAGTTTTAAGTCTTTTGTATGTTAATTCATTGATTACATGTATTTATTACAGGAACAACATAGACCAGCAGCAACGTAAATGTTGTCCAAAAGACAACATTTCAACTCTTATCAGATCAGATGATTTAAATCAGATGCAAGAATAACGTGTCCAGAACTTGGAACATCTGCTGAAGTGAAACGTACTGGAAACAGAGGAGAAATATGAAGAAAAAAAGAGAGCAATTGGAAAAGGGGTGAGTAGGCCTACAAGGAATAAAACTGAGGAAAAAAAGAAAAGAATAAAAAAGAGTGAATACCTCCCAGGGAGGTGCAGGATCTCTCCATCTGCTATTCAGTGTATGGAACAGTCGCTACACTTATCCCCTCTCTGTAAAAGGAGCGCCGCTTTCCACCCCATTAAAAAGTTTGGGAACTAATGCCACCCCTGAATACTAGCCTAATTAGAGGCCGCTCAGCATTGCAAGGACCTGCTACACAAGAGTGGCTTTGGGATGGATGCTGCTTCTCCCCCCTTCTTTTGTAATGCCATCGTTTTGCTCTCTCTTTTTCTGACCCATTACTTTTCTTTCTTTCTTTCTTTCTCTCTCTCTTTCTTTTCGTCAGAGCTCGCTATAGGAGACCGAAGCTTTCATCATGTTTATGGCACTTCTGATCCACCACTGCAGAGACGTGGAGCGGACGGCATGTGATGCGTCCGCGCTATGAGACTTTTTACAGTTGCAGTCACAGCTGTATAGAGATGCATGAAGTGCTGTTTGACAGAGGAATTAAAGACTGCGGCTCCAGACAGGCCAGGGGGAGCAAAACGCTGGGCTTTCACCACTTCATGAAGCGCAAGCTCACGCGTCCTTGCACATCATTTATTTAGCCAAAGACTTCCAGAGGTGTTTTTATTTGTTCTACATCTTGCCTGTCTCACCCCGGTGTGAACCCTCCGATCCGGGATCTGCTGCAGAATTATGTTGTGTGCCTCTCACTGCATTTTTCACTTTCCAAGCCCTGCACGTGTTTGCTTTGGCATGCTATCCGCTCCTACAAACAACCGGGGCCCCCGTACAGCCTTATCCATCACGCTTGTGCAGAATGTGATGATAAAATAACAGGCGGCTTGAAACAAACCATTTGTTACAGCGGAATTTATTATTCTGTCCACTTGAAACAAAGTACAGAGGTTACCTAGACATCTCCTACTTAGGTTACAACAATAAATACAGCATGTTGGAAAGTCCCACATACATGGTCCCTGAACACTCCCAAAGGGGCTGCGTGACGTCACCCCTACTTCCGCTGACCGCTTGCGTCCTATAGGCTACACGCCACCGTTATAGGCGTCATGGCGTTACCGGTCAGAAGGCGCCCGTCTGCCAAAAGAAGCGCCGCTCGTGACTACCGGCTTTCGGGGGCCCGCGTGAGTTACATGCAACAACGCCTTTCGGTCGTAAACACTTCATCGAGCTCCTGCAGCGCGTTTATCATCGTGACACCCGCAGGTAATCCACACCAACATGGGCTGCAGCTGACACAAGGCAGAGCCCCAAACATTTCCTCTGAGCCTCTAAACACA